GATGTAGGTGGCAATTTCTCTCTGATACAGTAACTTCTGGGTTCAGTGAGGACAGCACCGTGTCTGCCTCTTCCAGCAGTGAGAGCTGATGCCTCTTAAAATGTGGGACCCTTAAAACAGGAATGTGAGAACTAAATGATCACCTTCAGTTATAGACAGTGCTAATTGCAGAAGTGAAGGAATCATTATAAGCTGTAAACAGAGGGTTCTGCTACTTCTTTCTGGTTCTGTGTGCCGTAGCCAGATGGACATATTTGGTTGGGGGACCCGGCAGTGAAAAATGCTGAGAGTGAAAAACATCTGAAAGTGACAGCCCAGGGAAAAATAGGCTTGAACTTGCATGGATAGTTCTTGGATTATTTTCATGTGAATGGCAGAATGAAATAATTTGTGATTGTAGATAATGTATGAAGCAATTACCAGAAATATGGTATTTTGGCCCAAGGAAATTCATGTTCAGGCAATAATTTCAAATGTTTTAAATTCTACACTTCTGTACTAGGTGACACAAAATCCTTTTTTGGTAATGGTTATATCACTAAGTCTGTCCTTGCATGCCCTTCCTTGTTAGCTGTTCAAGCATTAAAAAGATTTATTAACCTTGTCTTAGTTTTAGTAGCCTCTTTTTTCTGCTTTTTTAGTTTGCAGTATTTGACATGCAAAATGTTATGTTTTTTTAAACCAAGTGCTCCAAGTAGGAAACTACTGCACTGAAGAATAAATAGGCAACTTTAGCTCTGCTCACTTGGACCTGGGAAAGGCTGTACAGTTACAGAAATCCCAGCATTTATATTCCTGGTTATCCTAGTCCAGCCAGTAACAGTGAAGATGATAATATTAGATATTCCAGAGGTATAAGCAAGATATTTCAAGATGAACAGTACAGAACTAAGTATAAAGTGTTAATTTGTATTATTAATTACTTTTAAACCTATCCAATGACTTTATGAAAATTTGACAATCTAAATCAATAAATATACTTTCACCAAATCTTGAAAGAAGTTCTAGTCCACAGGACTAGTATCTTTTTTCCTTTATTGTATGGAAAAAGGATGTATTGAATTACTTTCTCTCAAAGTCCTTTATATACTGACTGCATATCATCTCTTATTCATTTTTCTCTTTAAATCTTTACAGTATGTCTTCTTATGGATAATATTCCAGTTTCTTTATCCTTTCAAAGTATATTTTCAGAATCCTTCCTATATGTACTTTTTTTTTTAATAACATAAGACATACAGCATTCCATATACAACACTGCAAAGAAATAGAATAAAAGTGTCACTATTTTTGCTCATTCTTTGTGCTCTCTGCATTTTGCATCCTTTCGTATCTTCTGGGTTACACAGGTGACTCCCAGATCTTTTTTTTTCTGAATAGTGATACTTAATTTATGTGCATAATATTTGAGGAAACTAGAATCAAAATGAATCCAGAGCAGAAATTGAAATCTAAGGAAGAAATAAACTGAGCTGCAATAAATGACCAGAGAAAATAAATAAGAGATCAGCCAACAAACCCCAGGTCTCTCTATTATTTATACCTCCTGGAATAAAAATAAATTGGCTTTGAGGAGACATGCATCAAATTTTTTAGCTGGTGTAAATCTTTGAGGCATTACGTCCATTGGGAGTGGGGGACCTGTGCAGTGACGTGTGCTGGAAGCAGCCATTTCATCAGTTTTTCCATCTGGGCACAGTCTGAAGAATGACACACCTGAAAAAGAGAAGCAAGCTGCAGTTTCCCAGTTTGCAGGGAGAGGAAAGTCAGGGGTGGCCTTCACCTCTGCCAGTTTTTTACATGACTGGACGTGGCAGTGGTCTCTAGCAGCTGGTGGCAAGATGCCAATGGGGAGCCTGGCTGGCTTGGGCTCTCCTTCTCTACCACCATAGGCAGCTTTGGCACACACTCAAATGTAGCTTAGGTACAATTGCGATGTTTACTCTTGAGGGGAGTTAGTGACAATTCCCATGCCTGATGTTGTGGAGGTCTAATCAGTGCCTGAGAAGAGCACAGCCCTGGGCTGTGTCCCCACCACCATCATACCAGTGGTCACGGCTGTGGGCTCCTTACCTTGGGGCATGGGTGGACCATGCCCACAGCTGTGGTCCAGTGCATTTTGGTATATGTCTGCATCATAGGGCACTCCTGAGGTACCTACCCAGAGAGTGAGCCTGTAAGTGTAACCTTTCAACAGTGTCTGGAGTGCTTCCCTCCCTGGAAGTGTGGGCAACCCCACACCCTGTGGTGCGCCTGGTAGCCCCTACTTTGCACAGTTCTGTGTTAATGAGCTGTGGAGCACACTGTTATCTGGACTGCTCCTGCAGTTGGCCTTCATCGGGAAAGAAACTTGGTTTGGGGTAAAAAATGTGAGGCCACTTATTTCAGTCTCAGCATCAGCCTCAGAGAAATGCAGTGAGCTCACAGGCAGGAAACACAGGGGGAACTTCTGCAGAGCATCCCACAGGGCCTGGTGCTTTCCTGCTGCCTTGGGAGAGCATGTCAGAGTGTTGGGGGAGCTCCAGCAGTGCCAGGCCTTCTTTCCCTGTACTGTGTGGGGCAAGGCTGGCCCTGTGGCGTGTAGGAGAAGCTCTGGTCCCTGAGGCAGGTAGCTCCCTTCAGCCAAGAGAGGGGTAGGTACAACACACTCCTACTGTCCCTGCAGCACATAGGAAAAGAAATTTGGGAAATCACACATAGAATCTTAGCATATCCTGAGCTGGAAGGGACTCACAAGGATCATCGAGTCCAACTCCTGGCCCTGAACAGAACAACCCCAAGAATCACACCACGTGTCTGAGAACATTGTCTGAGCACTTCTAGAACTCTGACGGGTTTGGTGCCATGACCACTTCCCTGGGGAGCCTGTTTCAGTGCCCAGCCATCCTCTGGCTGAAGAACCTCTTTCTAATATCTAACTTAAATCTCCCCTGACACAGCTTCATGCCATTCCCTTGGGTCCTATCACTGGTCACCAGAGAGAAGAAATCAGTGCCTGTCCCGCCATTTCCCCTTGTGAGCAAGCTGTAGACCATGATGAGGTCTTCCCCCAGTCTCCTCTTCTCTAGACTGGATAAACCAAGCAACCTCAGCCACTCCTTATACACCTTCTCCTCTAGGCCCTTCACCATCTTTGTTGCCTTCCTTTGGATGCTCTCTAGTAGTTTAATATCCTTCTTATATTGTGGCGCCAAAACTGCACACAATATTCAAGGTGAGGCCAAGAGCAGAGCAGGTGGCAATGCTTTGCCTGATGGTCCCCAGGACAAAGTTGGCCCTCCTGGCTGCCAGGGCACTGCTGACTCATATTCAACTTGCCATTGACCAGAATCCTCAGGTCCCTTTCTGTGGGGTTGCTCTCCAACCTCTTGTTTCCCGCTCCGTACATACATCCAGAGTTGTCCTGTAAGACACTAAGGATGCTCCTCTTACCCTAAATGGGACACTAATATGCACTATAACAACACATGCTATAATACAGCTGTCTGCCTCAAGTGTATGTGGCATGCCTGGGTAGATGTTATTTTGTTATGACCTGACATCCTCTGTAAATTTCTTTGGATAAGAGAGTCATGGAGCCATTCTCCCAGCTGTGGATGAGAAAAGAGCTTAAAATATGTGCATATATTGCTTAAGTGCTGTAGATGTGTTAATGTGCTTTTTTTACCTCCCAGGAGTGATGTAGCATGACAGGGTGGGGATGTGATCAGTCACTGGTGTTACTGTTAGCTTTACAATAATGTTCTTTTGATATTTGCTCTTAAACTCTGTCACATATTTTTATTCCATCTTCAACAGGTGTTAATCTCTTTGCAGAAACAGCTGAGCACTTAACTTTGCTCAGCTGTTTCTAATCAGAGCCAAAGGCAGTCCTGAAGCAATTGTAGTATTTCTCTTTTTAAATTGTCTATGCATATTTAAAAGGAAATACTGCACTTCTTGAGCCCCGAATAAAAGCGCATCTTCCCCTGCCTCCATAATACCTGCCTAGAATAATGCAGAACCAGCTGGAGGCTGGTTGCTCAGTTTTGCTTTTTCAGTACACACTGAAACATCCAGGGGATAGACAAAAAAGAGAGGAAGAGCCAGCAAGTGAGCCTGCCCTTCATTCTGAATTACTGCAGGGACCCAGTGCTCTGCAAGGTGGGGATGGATGGGCAAAGTCCCTGCAGGATAGGATCATCCACACAGTGGTGGTGGGGGCATGCACAAAGCAGGCAGCATCACTAGCTGTAATAACTGGAGGTTAACATGCAGCAAAACACCTCTAATATCCTTGAAAACTAGTTACCTGGAGAGCAAAGATATTGCATATTTGCCACGGAAACGCACTGCAAGCAGAAGCTCATATGATGTCTGTGCCCTGCTGAGCTTGCAACTGACTTCAGGGGTGCCACTCTCTCCTCTCCCTGACTGATGGGTTCATCAAAGAGAAGATCCCTGTGGGACCCTTCTGGAGTGGCCTTTTGGGATTTGGCCACAAGACAAAATTTTATCAGGCTGCACCAAATGTTTATTGTCAGTATATTGTGAGTTTTGGCTCTTGGTGTAACTAACAACTAGTGTTTTTTATAAGTCCCATCAGACTTTCAGGTCCACCATGGTTGAAATTAACTGATTCACCATACAAAATCTGTGCATTTGAGCACCATGTTGTTGCAACAACAACACTACCTGGCTCTACTAGAGGGTTATTTGACTATCTGTAAACATCAAATTGTTTTACAGAGGAAATTCCAGAACATAAATCCAGGAAATTCACAGTAAATATCAAATCTGGAAGAAATCCAAACACATATTGGTATTAAAGTTCACATACCTGAGAAATGTTATTAATTTAGTTTGCAAAGCAGAGCATGCTGGTAAGTCAGTTAGGCATTCACTCCTATTGATCAGGAAGCATCCCTATGGAAAAATACTTGGAGCAAGTTTACCTCACTGAAACAGTTTGTGGTTCTGTGGTAACCCAAATCCTCATTTCTGTCTCTTTCCCTCTGCAGCTGCTCTGTCCTTGCCATCTGAAATGCCTTCATTGCTTTCCTTAATTGTTTTAACCCAGAGCCAGTCTTGGTGGCTACAGAGTCCTGGAGCTGTCCACAAGGAACTGGGAAGAAGGAGGAGGCAGTGACCAGGGTGCAGGAGATCTTCTGGCACTGCTGGATCACTGCCTGTCCTGAGGCTGAGAGAAATTTCCCTGTTATTCCCCCTTACCAGGTGTCCTACATATAACAAGTTACATCCAGGAAATCACAATAGTAAAATTTGTTGTATTTGTGTTGCTTCTCAGTGTGACAGTAGTCCCTCAGGGTGTGTGAAGACAGGGTGACTTACAGCAGCCCTGAAAATGTCCTAATGAGTACAACTGTTTCTCCACATCTGGTTTTTGTAATACCAAATAGATATGAATATAGTCAAAGCCCCCATTCTAAACAATTTTTATTTGACATATTTTAGAAGTATCTCTATAATCTTTGTGTTCTATATTAAATTGTGTTTCAAATCTACAGTATTATTGAAGAAGTCTATTTTAATTTTTATGACATTCTGTGACACAGGGAAAATCATATGCCAGGGCTATCTGTTGTTGTTTCATGTGAGGTGCAAGAAGGGGGCAGGGGGAGTAGAATACCATCAGAAAGCTCTGAGAGGCAAGCTAGGTGTCATGTCAAAAAATCTTGTAAATCTTACAATTAGAGTAGCAAATGTGGTGGGCTGTGCTAGAAGGGTTGCTCAAGAGTTAGAGAATCAGTGCATTTGATATCAATACTGAAGGAGAGTGAGCTAATGCAGAACAAACTTGTAGTTTGCTGCAAAATGACAGGCTCTGTGTGGCCGTGTGGGAATTACAGACCTTTGGTCAGGGTTTGTTTGCCCTTGACTGTGAAACCTGCTCTCTTCTACTCTCCATGCATCCTCATTTACTCATGAGGATCCTGCTTACTAAGTCATTAAGTAAGGTCTTGAAAGTGCAGGGAGAGAAAGAAAATTGTACGCTATTGACAAATGCAGCAAATAAAGAAGCACAACTGGGAAAGCATTAAAGAAGTAAAAATTATTTGCTTGTTTTATTCTTTCAAAATTAAACTGCCCAGTCTAATATTTTGCTTTATCACTTTGTAGTTATTAAGCAAATAAGCAAGAAATGACAATGTGCCTCTCCAATCAAGACTTTTTCAGCAGTATTAAAACTAAAGTTACTTCTCATCAAGCGCCAGAAGAAACGTTGCTCACTGTATACTGTGAGAAAGAGAATTTTCCAATTCCTATTTCTGCTCAGATGTTGTACTTGCATATGCTACACAAAGAAATTAAAATTGAAGATGGAGAACACATAGGGTTACTTTTCTACAATAGGCAGACCACTGGACAAATCAATATCTGAGTTTCTATTTGCTTTTTCCTACTCCCTAGATCAAATAAAGCTATTAATTGGTGTTATTCGTGGTGCTGTTGCCCTTTGCAAAATATACTCATTAAAAATGCTTCTTGGTTCAAATGGTTCTTCATAAATCGTTCTCAACCACAGTTTACAAATGAGATAGAGTGTTAAGAAAAAATACATAATGTCCAAGAGGCAATGAGAAAACAATAAATAGAAAGAGATTTATCTGCAGAGCACATGTAGCACAGTAACATTATTATACTTCAAGCCTAAAGAATAAAATGAAGAAAATCATTAGGTACCTATTAGGATTACCCAGAGCAGCTCTAGAGAGTTGGATGCCTTATTAAAAAAAAGCAGCATTATAAAATCACACCAAATTCCCTGCCTCAGACTGAAGTTCGTCATGGGCTTTATTGCACACAGTCATCTGCAAGTTAAAAAGAGATCTTACTACCCAGCTCTTTGTGCTGGAGAGTGCTGGTCGTGCAACACCTCAAAAATGGGGCTGGGGTCCTGAAATCTGTTTCTTTACTGCTTGAGCAGCTGTCTCAGGATGGCCAGGCACAATGAAATGCTATACATAATTATTTTATCCATGGCTGAATGATAGCCAGCTTTGCTGGAAAGCCGACAGCTGTTTAAAGGTGTATAGTCACATGCTGTACCAGTCTATTGATGGAAGGGATAAATACATAATACAGCTGATGTTTTAGGTCATAGTTACGTATCTCAGTCTGGGAATAATTCAGGACAAAGGGTGCATCATGATGGGTTCAATTTTATTATTGAGCTCTTGGTAGCATCAGGGATGCCCAGATGATGCCCTTCACCCAGGTGGTGCCTGAGGAGTGTAATATCTCAGAGTGATACTGTGCTGAGTACTTGGCACAAGGCTGTTTAACAACTGTGACACTCCTCTGAGTATCCTTTTGAGACTCAAACGCTTCACACATAATGTTTGAGAGGCTCTGTCTGTATCCTTAGCAAGGCTCCTTGCTCCATGTTTTCAAGGTAAAATATGTGTTCCCCAAATCTGGTCAGTGCTTGGTTCTACTGAGGACACGAGGATTAAGGTAATTTAATGTTTATTAAACATTACCCAGTTGGTCTTCCCAGCTGGTGGAGACATCTGCAGTGACCACAGCCCTGGAAGGGATGTGGTGAGTCACATCTACAGTCTTTGTGCAGGCTGGTCTCTGTGAAGGACCCCAGAGGGGAGAGGGGCTGAACCTCTCCCCCAGATGCACCTTCTCCCAGAGGGAGGATGGAGATGATGAGTAGGGCTGTCTGTCGACCCATGGCTGCCATGGCTGTGGGGCTGTATGCTCCCCTGTCCCCTGAGCAATGGGCCAGTGCTGGGGACAGATGCTTGCATGCCCTGCAGCCCAACATGGAGCTTAGGATGGCAGCTACCTCTTTGGAGGCCTATTTTGTCCTCATAATACCATTTTTTGCCTTTGCTAAATTCAGTGTTGTATTCATTCATATATCAAATCCTAGTCTTATAAATAGTAGCATAAATCAAGTACAGGTAAAGCCGCAGTCCTCTCTCCAAGAACTTCTTCAGCTTATGGCAGCTGGTGTCAAATGCTGCTGTCCTCCTCCTTTCCTTCTCCTGGTCTTGCACTTGGTTGTCAAAGTAAAGTATAGAAGGTCCAGCCAGGTGTTGAACCCTTTTAGCAATGCAATGGATCCTACTTCTAATAAAACTTTGTCAGTAGAGCCTAAAGGAAGAAAAAACCTGACTTCTGTCTTCTTTTTTGTTGCTACCTGTCCTATCTCAAATTTCCGCCTAGTGGTTTTTGATTGTACTCCTGTCCTTCTGTGCCAGAGTGCTGCCTTCTAGGAAGGAGACTAGTTTGCTAGAACCTGTAAACTTGTTTCATTGACAAGGTGCAATGAGCAGCCCCAGTTGGTGGTTCATGCTGTCAGACAGGGTGGAGTCCTTAACCTGACAAAGGAGTAGGGCAAAAGTAGGCTGCTTGAAGCTTATTAATTGACCTTCAACAAAAGAATCTTTCAGAATCCAAAAAACCTCTACTATTTGTACAGTAAGAACCATACACCAAGAAAGTAATCAAAAGTCACCTTTCAAAGTCACCATGGAACTGTGTGTAATACCTTGTAATACAGAGAGAGACTGTGTTTCTCATAAATTAGTTTTTATATTGGAACTATGAAACATGTTATATTAAAGCAACTTTAATGCTAATCTAAAGTCCAGACTCATCTGTTCTCAGGAATATCTTTGAAAAATAATGGCATCTTGATAATCCCCCTTATGTTTACGATCAGCTAAGACTGTTATATCAGAGTTCTATCAGTGTGAATAGAATGTCTTTCCTTCAAGAGAAAGGATTTCAAAACTGTGATTGGTGGTTCAATGTGACAAACAATGGGGAAAAAAATCTTCAGCACTGTGATTAAAGAAAAAAAATCACAGCATTAAAAGAATAAGCTATTCTCCAAGGAAAAATGTTAGGACAAACGAACAAATAGCCCTTATTTTGCAAAAGGAACATTAGAGGTCTTTCGGTGTTTTAATTAGTTGTCAAGAATACTTCAAAATAATTTAGCCTCTCTCATAGTATTCTGTTGTGTGGGGTACTTTCTAGCTCTGTACTCCTGGTCTAGGATCCTGTTTGAGAGGAAATGTTAAAATACAGGTTGTGTTTATCAGCAAACAAAATTAAGAAATTTTTCACCTGAGCAATGAATTAACTAAAAAGAATTGAACAAGAAAATGTAGGACACAGCAAATGTGCATGCTGCTGTAGAGCTTTATGTCAATTGAAGTATTGGTCTGCTTTTAATTGGATGCTGTATTTCTATGAAGATCTCTTGCAGACAGATCTTGTGTTAAGATTGTACTCCTTTACATTAGCATAAAAATGAATGACTTTTGATCGCTTTGGTGCAGTGTACAGAAATATTTTCACAAAACCCAGGGTCTAGTCATTGAATCACAGTAGCAAATAATTAGAAATGGAAATGCTCTTCTGGGTTATTCAATTCTCTCCTCTTAAAATGCAAATGTATTTCCAGTGATACATATTTTCTTTTTGTGAAGTTTACTCTTGAATCATGTTTCATGGCCATTTCATCATTTTCCTGTGCATATCATCCCACAGATTCAACTATTAAGTGCTTCACTTATGTCTCATTAATCCTAGTTTCATCTCTTTACTGTATCCTTGTTATCATGTTCTCTAAGAATTAAGGAGAGCTGTGGGAAAATCTGTTTGCATGAAATGACATTTAGATTTCTCCAAAACTGCAAATGTAACATTTTTGAGGTGCAAATATGTTTTGCTAACCTTTCATGTTTATTCATCCTTTGATTTTTTTCATTTCTGATCAGGACAAGAATCTGAAATAGAAAATAAATCAAGAAAATTATTCTTATGGTATTTGGGGAAAGAAGGAAAATTAGCATCTCATAAAACTTCCCATTCTGTCTAGGTACATTTTGAGAACCAGAAGGAAAATTAATTAATTTTGCATTTTTCTGAATACCCATGGAATTATCCCAATAAGTGTTTCATTTGGTGGGCTGTTTCCCATATGGTGGACATTAAATATGACCTATTCTTTAGAACAAGCCTGAAAAATAGAAATAAGAAATATACATCATTAATCACAGACATTAAGAGCAATCAAAATAAACTTTATCCTCTAAGTTTGGAGATTTTCATTTGACGTAGCATTCTTGGAACATAAAGATCTACTAATAGTCCTGGGTACAGTTAAGGGCGTAAGCTAGAAAATTACTGGTGCAGTTGATGGTTTAGTCAAGTATTTTAATGATTTCTCTATGTAAAATAGCTGTAGCCCTAATAAGTCTAAATAAGTTACCTTAATAGGTGAGGGTCACTGTGCCATGGCTTGGGAAGTCACTGAGGTGGAACTGGCACAGGAGTCACCACCTGGATCTGAGAGGAAGTTCAGAAGCACCTTGCCATGGATATCTGGTCCTGTGGAACCCAGGAAAATTTTGTGGCTGCTCACCAAACCACATGATTAGTAAGAGTCAGTAGAAGCAAGTGTCTGCCCTGGAAGAGGATTGCCCATGGAGAACAAAAGAGGACTGTTGCTGGCTGCTTCATACACATTATGAAAAATATGACTTTATTTAGAGATCTCACAGCTCTTCTGTAGGCAAAACAGCTGTTCATTTCAGGTCTGAGTAGCAACTCCAAATTCAGGTCCTGTCTCTGAATTATTCATCAATGGTAGCTTTATTTCTCCAGCTCCCTGGGAATATTTTTTGATCCTGGAAACAAGGGATTTGATATGCCAGAGTCCTACCTAGCCCTCAGTGCAGAGGGCTGCCTTTCATCTCCTCTTGTCCTGAATGCAGCAGCTCACCAAGGAACTGTTGGGACACCAATTCTTGTCCTTTTGTCCAGCCACACTTGATATTGAATCAGATAAAATTTAATGGAGATGATAATTGCTTTTTCTAGTCACTGTATTTTTCTTTTTAATTTCATTGTTGGCTAATGATCTGTCTATTCTTTCATCTTGCATGTCTGCAGGGCTGAAGAATAGCTCCTCAAATTGCTCCCAGGTGAATACATCAGCAAGTGGCTACTTAGGCATTTTATGATACTCCATAACTAATTAAATCTATTTCAGGAGATGTAAATCAGGAACAATTTTTCTTATCAAGTACTTTACAACTGCATATCTGAAAACTTTCTACAAACAGAAGGGAATACCTTTATTCCTTTATGAGCACTTATGAAGCTTCTTTTTTATGATTTCATTTGTACCTCAGGTGTGTGCCTTGTAGGCCAGATAGACGTTGCTGTTCTTGGCCTTGCTTACAGTCTTTATCCATGTTTTGGACACTTCTGGGCTGTGGACAGTCTCTGCAAGAAACATAGGTTGCCATTATTATATATCATTTACAGCTGGGGACACAGAGCTATTGCATGACACAGAAAATCTGCTGGACAGCTTGGAGTCCTGACTCAGGCTGAGCTTGACCATGACAGCTTTACTCTTTGGTCTGAGCCTTGTACAGGCATAGAAAACGTATAAAGCCATAATAATTCACAGATGAAGAGCAATACTTTTGCATTTATAGAAAATGCACTTATATTTGCAGGTTTCAGGAGGACAAAGTGCTCTCCAGTACTGGTTTCGACCGTTTTTCATAAAGAAAACTGGTTGTTATAAGGTACTGCTTTCTTTTTTCAGGGTTATCCTACCTGAGCGCAGGGAAATGGCAAACTGAAAACAACACATGACAGAAAAGTGTTCAGAGGTGGCAAAACAGACTACAGAAGTTCTGGAAAATCAAAAAAGGGGTTTTGGAAAGTTCTGGAGAACAAATAGACCCTACGTGCTTTTGTAGGGTCAATCCAATGGTGCTTCATTATTTAAAAGGAAGGCAGAGCTCATATCTTGAGAAAATTATTCCTACCTTTCCTGTTTCCTGTCTTCCCTGTCTTTTAATGAACAAGATGCCATGCCACTCATTCATCAGCTAGAGTACCTCAGTAAGGTAGCATATCCCCATGTGGCATTTACAAAATCTGGAAGGTTTATATAAATGTTGAAAAGCCAAAGTTTTCCAAATTGGTTTTAGCCCACTGTCTCAACATGAAGCTGCCTGTCTTCCATACAATATTTGACATTCATGTGCAGATACAGTCCCGTTTTGAAAATTGATCACTTCAAGTACGGGCGCCTAAATGAACGTACCCATGAGATGATGAATGGTTTTGTATGTTTGCAGCAGCACAGTGGAGGGCTGCTTTCTTTTCCTGGTCAATCTTCTGAAGACAGAGAAGCAGAATGCAAATTATTTCTTACATATTTTTGTATTTTTATGTCCAAAAAAGTATTTGTTTGAGAATTTACTTTGATAATGAACTATGAACAAAATTTTCTGGCCATCACAAATTGAGGAAGCTTGGGATATGAGAGGTAGAGAGACTAGACAATGGCAGCCTGATTAGGGAACAAAAAGGGCCGATGTTAAACACGGAAAATTTCCTTTGCCCTCTAACTTAGCCAAGGGGAACCTTGTTCATTAGTATTTGCAATGTAGCAAGTCCATTATGCAAATAGCTTATATGGGTTTATTGCTGTTTTCTTCCAATTCCTTCTGTTCTCCCGGTATATAAGCACAAGGTTGAAAGTCCTGGAGTTATCAAAACTATAATTTGTTTTAAACCCTTTTCTGTGGGGAAAAGACATTTTCTTTCTTCCCAGATTAATTATGACATTTAACATCCCCTTATTTCTGACAGTGCAAATCTTAGGGGAATCATGCTGAAGAGTGGATCAATGAGATGAGAAGTCAGCAAGGGCAAGACCATGTTGGGCCTATTCCGTTGATCCCTAAATGAGGATTATTATTTCAGCAGAATCACCCCAAATGAAGATATTAGTGCTAAGGGGGAAGAAGGGCTTTAATTATGAGACTATCCAGGAATACAATGAGGGAACAGTTTAAGTGGAGATGACTGTGAAGAGTTGGTAAGTTTTCTTCAGAAGATGCAGAAAACAGAAGAGAGGATCCTGTATTTTTATTAAAGCCTATCCAGTAGGCCATGAGTGCCAGGGAGGGAGGAAAGGGTGGAGCTTCAGACTCCTGGGGTAAGAAGGAAAAAAAGCAGTGAAACAGAGACCATGAGTGGGCGGAAAGATGGATTCAGCTACATCAGAGGCCATCTTGCTGAGGTCCCTCAGGAAGCAAATCTGGGTAAAAGGAGCTGAAATGAATTGATTATCGCTGACAGAAACAGTATGAAGAGCACAGCTGAAAATCGTCCCTGTGTTAGGATTGTGAGGAAGGGTAGCTAGAGACCCACTGGCTGAATCACAGCCATTCACTTACCCAAGCCCAAGAAGGATTTGTACAGAAATTGGAAACTAGGCTTACTTACTGAGTATAAAAAGTTATTACAGACAAAATAAGAAGCCTCTATTATATGGTCTGAAGGTTACAAAAACGGCTTTGAAAATGAGCAAAAATAGCATGTGTATAAACCACACCAGAAGGAAAAAAAGATTGTACTTGCCTCACCCTGTCCCTTGATTACTCCCCTTCTGTTGCTCTGGAATATTTACTGAACTTATTTTTTTACCTTCTCACATCCCTGCCCTTTTTTTTAAAAAGGAACATTTCCTGTCATATTACTATATTAGTTTGGGAGCAATGGGACAGACTTTGGTACAATGAAGAGGGAAAAAGAATGCAGAAATGAGAAAAACAGTGAGAAACCCCAGAATTCTTAATTTAAAATCCCCGAGGAAGGTGGGTTATTTAAATTAAGAACCACTTGCAAAAGGAGGGTTTCTTTATAACGTACCTTCTGTGGGGGTGAAATGTGCAATGTTGACCTCTTGTAAAATTTCCAAATTCCCCAGACCAAATCAAGCATCTGACATGCAGACATATTTGAATAGCTTAAAACTGCCCGCTGTAGCAAAAACCTGGAGCAGACAAAGCCCCCATTTAAATGTGTTCCTGAGGTAAACACATGAGAGAAAGGATGGGAAAAGGTGTGCTACAAGAGACTTCAGTAGCACCATTGACCATTGAGCAAACATTAATTTCTTGGTCACATTGCCCAACCATTTGAGTGGCCAGTCCCATCACTTGGCCTGTAAAGCGAATTCAATTGAGTCTGAGTTTAATCTTTACAAAAAGCAGCTCTTGGTCTTCCCACCTGTTATCTGTGACCTCCTTTGTAGTTTTCATCTACTCTCTAGTTACCTTACTTTTGCTCAACCCTCTGTTGCACCCTTTTCTCTCCTGACTTGTCATTGTCCCTTCCTCACTGTAATGACTGTCTCCGTGGCATATCTGCTTATCTCATTGTCTTTGAGTTGCCTGGATTGGTCTCTCCTAGATGCCTCTTTTCTTAGAATCATATATTTTCTTCTCTCATCTTTCACCTTAGGTACAGCTTACTCTACATAGGTAATAAGCAGGTAAAGTTCAGTAGTAAAAGTTCACATCCTGTGAAGGGAGGATTGATTCTTTCCTGGTATGGCTATGCAATCAGCATTTAAGCTCCAGTTAGTGGCAGAGTTTCAGCTGGTTTCTTATATCTGTCATTGTTCAGTAACAAGGCAGGTTCTGAACCTCAGGCACGTACTTTTATTCGAAGTCTACGTGGAATCTTACATCCTAGACATTAATGATGATTAAAAAATCTTTCCTGCTAGCTCCATTACCAGGCCACTTGGTTTTTTTTCTGTGTTCTGAGTGGAATGTGCATTCTATGGAATTTTTAGTAATTTCTTAGTGGTTGTGTAAAATATTCTATTTATGCCATTTATTTTAAGAATTTGGGGACTGAGAAAGTATTTTAAATGATTGTCACATCAGCGACAATGAAACTGAAGCAGAACCTGTGATCAGCGGTCTTTACCCTGTTTTTTTGTGCTGGTTTTTATTTTAACAAGTGAATAGAAAAATGCCTGCAAGTGCAAGCTGAATGTTACAATGGAACCCTCCTTTCTTAAGCTTTCAGAGCTTCTGATTATGTCTCTCTAGCAGTACATGTTAAAACCCTGTCATTTATTTCTTGATCACTGTTCAACCTACTTGAGGAGGGGAAGAAAAATCTCATCAGATGAGTCACACACTCTGAAAACATAACAGTAGTTTGAGTTAGGGCAAAAGCTTCTTTTAAATGAACCCTTGCCTGCTCCTTCTAACACCTCATTGCTTGCTCATTATTAGATGTCTGCATGCATGTGGATATATGTATGTGTATTTAAATAAAGCACGGAGGATTTGTGGAGACCTGCATTCTGTCATACATTCATTTACACAAATATGATGGTGGTATCCTTATAGCAGCCCTTCAGTACCTAAAGGGTGTATACAAGAAAGCCAGAGGGGGAATTTTTGCAGGGGCATGTAGTGATAGGACAAGAAGAATGGTTTCACACTGAGAGTAGGTTTAGATTAGATATTAAGAAAAAAATCTTTACTGTTAGGGTAGTGAGGCACTGGAACAGGTTGCCAGAGAAGCTATGGATGCCTGGAAGTGTTCAAGGCCAGGTTGGGTGGGGCTCTGAATAACCTGGTCTAGTGGAAGGTGTCCCTACCTCTGGCAAGGGGGGTTGGAGCTCGATGATCCCAGCCCAAACCATTCTGTGACACCGTGATGATACTATTCACATCATTCTTGGCTGCGATAATAAAGCTGTCTG